TCTTTGAAGGACGTATCATTCAAATTTGAACTTAATCCTAAATCGTTTGATTCTGGAACACCAATAGAGAATTTGCCCTTAGAAAAATTTTCGGTATATTAAGTATTCAGTTGCAACCTACATCGATTCATCCAATTTCTCGTAAAATTATCCGATAAATTATCTGATAAATTATCCGATAAAGAGTCTTTAAAATTAATTTTAACACCAAAAAATACCATTCATTGGTATGAACAAGGTATTAAAGATACTTGGACATCAAAAATCGCTGACCAATTAGTAGAACAAGCAGTTAAAGAAAAGAATACATTTAAAGAACCAGAGGTATGGGTGATATACAGTATATCTTAATATTGGAACATTTAAGCAATAATTAAATATTAGTGTGCTATGATGGGAAGAAAATAACTTAAACTAGGTATTTCTTTCCATCTCGGAATATAGGTGGAGTTATTGAGCTAAAGGTTTCACAGGAAACTGGTTTCTTTAGTCTTAATTTCCCTACTTATCATTAATTATGAGCTTTTGCTTAAGGTCGAGCATGAACAAAATATTTATTTATTTATTAATATGCTGTTCTTACCTTTTCTTAGGCAAAATTGAATGTCAAAATTTTTTGGCATAACTTAGGTCAATGGAATTCTGGGTTTAAAAATACAGAACAATTTCTTAATTTGTTAGAAAATGCTGAACACATTAAAGGCAAAAAAAAGAAGACATGTATAGTCGTTGTTGTGATAATATTAAGGTAAAACTTGCACAACTTTAAGTCGCCAAATTTTATTTAACTAACTTTATTCTTTTTAGAAACTGAGGTTGAATGACCAATTCTATGAAATTACTACCGTAAACAATGAAACCGAATTCCTAAACCAATAACTGCCATGATGCTATTTTCGAAACGAATTTAGTAGATCTCCCTCCTAATCATCCTCTTAAATCATGGTATGCCATCAAATATCTAATTCCTTTGCATACTTATCTACAAGCTAAAGAAGACTTTGATGTGCTTTTGAATTTTATTTTAAGTTCGACCCTCCTAAAGACAACATTTGGAATAATGATATTGAAGGAATAACATGACCAGATTTAAAGGGAGTTGACGAATACTTTTTTAAAAATAGTGTTGAGGAACTGTGGGTATATATGTTGTGCCTCAGACTAACGCTTGCCTCAGATCACAGCTGACGCACCTCAGATGCAGATTGTCAGATGAGGTGCGTAACCTATCGATTATCATCTAAACTGCAATCTAACAAAAATAAGAGAGTAAAATAAATTGAATAAAAGACCTTTTACTTGAATTCTTTTATTTTTGGATTCTTGGATTTCTTTGTGTTTTTCTCAATGATAGCATTTTTTAAATCACTTTGGCGTCTTTCTTAACTCCAGTAGCATTCTATATCTTTGAATCACTTTGGCATCGTCTTACCTTCAATAGCATTCTTGAATCTCTGGCAACTGTAGCATTCTTTTACATTAAGTCTCTTTAGTACCTCCGTTCTTTTCTTTGAATTTCTTTGTCTGAATTTTTATAGCCTATTTTATTTCCAATTAATACGTACTTTTTTCTCTCTATATATATAGTTTTTTTTTGCCTAAATTTTTGCAGCATATTCTTCCCGTTTAAGTTTTTCAGTACGTTTAATTTTCAATAATTCCTATACATATAATTTTTTTTGTGCTTAATGACTAATCGATGGGCATCTTCCCTAGTATCGCCACCAAATTTTTTTCGATCACATGATATCGACAAAATTCTTTAGAGTTTGTTTATGTTAGGATTAGGGTTAGATTTAGGGTTAAAAAGGTTTAGCATATTGTAAAACTCCCAAGGAATTTTTTTTGTTAGAACATAAAAAGCGGTTTCTTAAGCAAAATATTGAATAAAGAGAGATTTTTTGAAAACGAATGTTTTGTTTTGATCTTCATGGTCGTGTTACATTACACCAAGGCGTAATTTATTATTAAATAATTTCACATGATCG